AGTCGAGTTTCGCCATGGCAGTGGCAAAGGCGTCGGATACAGTGGAGGCGACCCGCTCCTCCATGTCGGAGGCGATGCTGGCAGAGAGGAATTCGAGTCTGGTGCCGATAGCAGCAACAACCTCTGCGGACACGTATCGCTGAACTTCGGCCAAGAGCGCCTTGCTGCTCATGATTGTCGGGTCGGCCTGCATGCCAGCGTGCACAGTATCACCAGCAGGTTCAGCATGGCCACTAGCCGCGGCCGACGCATCAGCATGAAGGGGTACCTGGAGCCGACTCGAAAGGCTCCCTGGATGCCAGGCGCTTCTGCTTCTTGTCCCTCTTGTCGTCCTTCTTCTCCTTCTTCGGCGTCTTCGCCTGACCACGCTCAGGCATGAGGCGGCCCCGCGCGGCACCGAGGGCTGGGGGGGCGCGGACGCTCGCAGCGGTACGGAAGGGAGCCTACCCCGCTCTGGGGGAAAGAAGGAGGGAGGAGGAGGAGGAGGGGAGAGACGCGCGAGCAGTGCTCTACTCAGAACGAAAAATCAACACAGTAGGGCTCGGAAACCAAAGAAATGTCGGATGTCTGGGAAGGCTGAAGGGAAAGAAGACGATGACCATGACCGAGCCAGAGCGCGGAAAGGCAAGGATCGGTCTTGGTCATCGCCCATCTTGGCCATCGTCGATTCGTGGACCACCCTCGCGGATCGGCGACGACCATCAGGGACCATGACCAAGATCGGTGTCGACAGAGTCCCGCGACCTCTCGACCATGGTCAAGTTGTTTCTGCCCTCGGGGAGGCGGCCTTCTGAGAGGACGGGAGGTGCCTCTTCCTGGAAGGCTCCTTTCCATTGCAAAAAGACGCCCCTGCCTTCCAAGAATCCCCCGCCTTCTCAGAAGGCCGCCCTCCTTGTGCGCACAGCTGATCCATGGGCGGTGTGTGCGACGAGGCCCAAACCCCTGCCGGTGCCAGCGGGGACGGGGCCGAGATCGTAGGTGGACATGTCTGGCAGATGTGATGAACAACAGCACGGCCAGAGGCAGCGAAGAGAGACGGATGGATTCGACTGAGAATGGCGAGGGGGCGGGAAGACTGGGAAAGGAAAGGATAATTACTAGGAGGGCGACGAGAACTGTAGGCTTTTTGTCACCCCAAGCGAATGACCCGACGAACACATCCGCCGTGCCCTCTAGGGGCCTTTGTCTCCAACGCGAAAGACCAGATGAACAAACCGCCGCCACCCTCACGGCGGCCAGCACAGAGAACTGCGGAGCAACGCAGACCGTAGGTGAAACGGCAGGAGGGGGGGTGGAGATGGAGCGGCAGGATGACAAGCGGTGGGGGGCATCGGTCAGACGCGGCTCGCTGCCAGATCGGGAGGCCGATGCTCGATCTGAATGCGGCAGGGCAGTGCCTTGACACAGGTGGGCCCTGGCTTCTGAAGCCGCATGAACCGTTCAAATTTGAGCGATGTCCGCTCTCGGACGCTCCCAGGAGACTCTCGAACCCCACACTTCATCTTTCACCTCATCTTCCGTGGGTCCCGCGGACCAGCACGGGCCCGCAGAGGGAGTTCAAGCCGGAACGCCCGAGCTGGCGACGCCGCCGCGTTTCGGGGTGGGCTGTCATGCAGCTCCTACGGATGGAAACTCGAGACCTGAACTTTTCAACATGCAACCGAGTGAACCTCGACGAACGGTTCCGATTGGACCTCGACGCCCTGTACTTTTCAACATGCTACGTTCCGATTGCTGCCCTTGGGAAACGTTGCAAAATCCGCTCCGAAGCCGTCCTGCGGCAAAACCGCCCTGACGCGTTGAGGCGACGCCCGCCTGCCGTGGCTGAGGTCAACCTCTCCCCGACCACGCAGGCCGGCGCACGAAAGGGAAAGCGCCCTGCGCCAAAACGATCCCCAGGCCAACGAGCTACTCAAGGTTGGACCGTGGGTCACTCTTCCTGCCTCCTCCTCCTCCTCCTCCTCCTCCTCCTCCTCCTCCTCCTCCTCCTTCGCCTCCTCCTCCTCCTTCTCCTCCTCCCCCTTCGCCTCCTCCTTCTCCTCCTCCTCCTGCTCCTCCTCCGCCTCCTCCTCCTCCTCCGCCTCCTCCTCCTCCTCCTCCTCCTCATCCTCCTCTTCCTCTTCCTCTTCCTCCTCCTCCTCCTCCTCTTCCTCCTCCTCCTCCTCCTCCTCCTCTTCCTCTTCCTCCTCCTCCTCTTCCTCCTCCTCCTCCTCCTGCATCGCTTCTCCTTGTGAGTAGCTCCTCCCTGTCGCTGCCGGGCTGGGCATTTCGCCTGAGACTTCCTCGCCAATGCGGATCCTGAAGCTTGACATGTGCAACCGCCTGAAAGACTGAGGGCGGGGGATTTACAAAATGTGGTTCCCGCCTGGGGGCCACGCGCGTTCGTCTCAAAAGCGTGCAACACCTTCAAAGATGGATGGGGGGGTCAAGGTGTGGCTCTAGCCTTGGCGTGCGCCCATTCGTCTTGAAACCTCACAACAGCTTCAAAGATGAATGGGGCGCTTTCAAAACGGGGCTCTCGCCTCAGCGCCGTGCACATGCTGCTTAAAAGTCTGCAACACACTCAAGGATGCAGGGGCCGTTTTTCCAATGAGGCTGTCGCCTCAGCGCCGCGCACACTCGTCTTAAAAGTTCACCGATACTTCGAGAATGGCGTGGTGTACAGCACATTACTCCCGCTTTCGCTTCCGCGCCGCGCAGTCGTCGACGCCGCGCACACTCGTCCGAAGAGTCTGCATCGGCTTCACGGGTGGAGGTGGGTCGTTTTCAGGCTGTGCCTTTCGCCCGAGCGCCGCGAACATTCGTATTAAAAAGATCGCCACGGCTTCAAATACGCGGGGCATGTCAAGATGCGGCTCTCGCCCTGAACACCGCGCACATGCGCCAACAGATTCGGGGATGCAGGGGCGCTCCGCTGGACCTCCCACAGCTCACGGAAATGGCGACAGTGCCGAAGTTGATAGCCCCCAGGGAGGCGAGGCCTAGCTTGTGCCCCTTCAGCCCCGCATTCCGCTGGACCTCCCGGGAGCACACGAAGGTGGCGACGCTTACACAGTTTGCAGCGACCATGGGGGCGAGGTCTAGCTTGGGCTCTCTTCGCCCCGCGCTGCGCTGGACCCCCCACAAGCCCACGAAAGAGGCGACGAGAGGCGCGGAAGGGGCCACCGCTGCGCAGTTTGTGCAGCGACCAGGGGTGCGAGGCAGGAGGCATCCGAGAGGCAGACGAGGCATCGGAGAGGCCGGTCAGAGGCGAGCGGCAACAGGGGCGAGGCGGGGAGGGGAGAGAAGAGAGGGGACGGGAGGAAAGAGCGGGAGGAAGGGGCGGGAGGAGGAGCGGAGGAGGAGGCAGCAGCCCAGGGGAGACCGACCTCGCCCCCAGGGCCGGCGTTGCGTGCGGAGTGTGCTCGGGCGGTCCCACGACGGCCGGGAGACGGCATCCCGAGGCCGAAAAAAACGACGAACGACAGGCGGTCCCGATGTCTTGCGACGCTGGGATCTTGAGGCAAAAGTCTCCCTGCTCGATCCCCGAAGGTCGAGGGCCAAGCTCAGCAGGAGAGAGGAGGAGGAGGAGGAGGAGGAGGAGGAGGAGGAGGAGGAGGAGGGGGAGGAGGACGTATCGCCCGACGGGCTTCCGCGGGTCTCCCTCCAGCGGATCCGCCCCGTCCATTTTCGCCTGCCTTCCGCCACCCTCCGCCGAAGATGCGAGGCCACCTTCTCGACTCCTCGAGAGCAACAGTCCTCTCTCTGAAACGCCCTCAAAGCACGGCAGGTCCGTGCCGCGACGACTTGCGCGTCGGCTTCTGGCGCCGCGCGGATCGTCAAGCCTTGAAGCGTCGTGGCTGTCTGACAACCGAGATCATCAAAAGCTGGCCGAATTCTGGCCGCCAGCGGTCTTCGACCTTGGCGTGTCGCGGCGGCGGCCCCGACGACAAGCTGTGCACTGCGAGCAGATAGCGTGTGGCTCCGCTTCGCGGGGCGGGGGGCGGGGGAAATCCCACGACGTGGAGGCTCGGGACGTGGGACGTGGCTGGCGTGTCGCGCCGAAGCGCGGCGGGCCAGAGCAGGCGGCGCAACACGCCAAGCAGAAACTCCCGACCGTCCCTGGTGATCTCCGGGCCACGACTCAGACCTGTGGCGAAGTCCGGGAAGAGCCGGGCACCTCCGGACGCCTTTTCGGCAAGGCGCAGCCTTTTGTTGTGTTGGTTGTGGTTGCTGTTGGGCTCTTGCCGCTTCCTCATATAAGTCTTACGGCTATCACTCTCATGTGTAAAGAACAATGTGTTACGATTACCACAAGTTCGGTTATTATGAGTAGTATTCCCCTTACGGCTAAGCTTGTAATTTGTCTGATTAGTCTCCCTACTGGTTTAGTTGTGTTGATACGATTCGTGTCCTTACGTGAATACTCGAAGTAGTGTGAGTAATAGTAGTAGTAGTAGTAGTAGTAGTAGTAGTAGTAGTAGTAGTAGTAGTAGTAGTAGTAGTAGTAGTAGTACTGTTGTTATCATAACTCGTCATATCCTATAGTATTGATATCAGTACTGTTAGCATGTGTGTTATTAGAGTTCGTCGTATTCATATGTTGCTCCTTCATACTACTAACAGTAACTATGCTTATTAACAATCGTCGTCTTATTAGTTGTTGTAGTAAGGCTGCGATTAATCCGATTATGTTTGTTCGTCTTCTTCTTCTCACTCGTTGCAGGTTTTTCTTTTTTTTCCATATACTTAGTACTACTATGAATATTAATGTTATGATTATATGTATTTTATTCTTACTATCTTATGCGTCGTATGACTCATATTATTGTTCTTCGGGGTGCCCGGACTGCACCCCGAGGCTGGAAAGGGTCCGGACACCTCCCCCCGCACACACCACAAGCGCGACACGATGAGTGGACGCCCCCGACGGCAGAAAACCAACGCTGGCGTCGCCGCCACGTTGTGGACGCGGCACGAACCTACCGCGGAGGCAGAAGGGGCAAGGCGGCGCCGCGCGCCTCCTCGAGCTCCGCGTCGCGCGCGGGGCCCCCCGACGGGGTGGGCGTCTGAAGCTCATCCTCCGTCGCACGACTGGGGGGCGCGTTGTTTTATTGGCGGCGCCCTCCTTCATCGTACCTTCTCCACATACCCTCCTCTTCCCCCGCATCATCCTCCAAATCCACCCTGCCCCGGTCCGCCTTCTCCTCCTCCGTCGCCTCCTCCTCCGCCTGCTCGTCATCATCATCATCATCATCATCATCATCATCATCATCAGCAGCATCATCATCATAATTATCCTTGTCATCATCATCATCATCATCATCATCATCATCATCATCATCATCATCATCATCATCATCATCGTCAGCATCATCGTCGTCATCATCAGCATCATCGTCAGCAGCATCATCATCATCAGCAGCATAATCTTCATCCGATTCATCATCATCATCATCATAATCATCATCATCATCAGCATCATCAGAATCATCAGCATCAGCAGCATCATCATCATCTTCATCATCATTACCATCATCATCATCATCATCATCAGCAGCAGCAGCATCATCATCATCAGCATCATGATCATCATCATCATCCGAATCCTATTCCTCCTCATCCTCCTTCTCTTCTTCCTCCTCCCCCTCCTCCTCTTCCTCCTCCTCATCCTCCTCTTCCTCTTCCTCTTCCTTCTCCTTCTCCTCCTCGTCTCTTCTCGTCCTCAACCTTCTCCTCCTCCTCCTCATCATCGTCCTCCTCCTCCTCCTCATCCTGCTGCCCCCCCCCCCACGCCCCGTCTGGCAGGCGCCTTGGCGACTGGGTGCGGCTCTCGGCGCCACCCTCGCTCGGCAGGGTGCCGTCGTCGCTCAGCGGGGTGCCGTCGTCGCTGGGCGGCGCGGAGGACGACGACGACGACGACGACGACGACGACGACGACGACGACGACGACGACGACGACGACGACGACGACGACGACGACGACGACGACGACGACGACGACGACGACGACGACGACGACGACGGCGGCGGCGGTGGCGGCGGCGGCGGCGGCGGCGGCGACGGCAGGGCCTCTTCTTCATCCTCCTCCTCCTCCTTCTCCTCCTCCTCCTCCTCCTCATCCTCCTCATCCTCTTCATCCTCCTCATCCTCCTCCTCATCCTCACCCTCCTCCTCGGGGAAGGAGGACGACGACCAGGAGGAGGAGGAGGAGGAGGAGAAGGAGGAGGAGGAGGAGGAGGAGGAGGAGGAGGGGGAGGAGGGGGGGGAAGGGCAAGAGGAGGGAGCAGGAGAAGGGAGAAGCGGAAAAGAGGGAAAAACAGGAACATGAAAAAGAGGGAAAGAAACACGACGACGAAGAGAAGCCGGTCCAGGCAAAGAGGCAAGAAGGAATAGGAAGAGGAAGGGTACAAGGGACAGGAGATGAGCGGGAAGAGGATGATGCAGAAAAGAAATGAAGACGCGGAAGAAGAAACGGAAATCAAGTCTTGCTCGACTCGACCATAGCAAACTGGCCCATATGGACAGGAAGGTACAGGGCCGCGGCAATGTATCGCCAATCAAAGTTTGCTCCAGGAGGCGGAGCAGGAGCAGGAGGGCTCCCAGAGCGGAGGAGCTCCTGAACCCTCTCCCCAGCATGTGTCACTTCGGCTCCTCTCCTGAACCCGCTCCCTCCCAGGCAAGTGTTTCTTTGATCTCTGCCTCCTCTTCCTCCTCTTCTTCTTCTTCCTCCAACTGTTATTATCAATAAAAGTCTTCTTCTGGACACTAATATCATGAATGTTAGTAAGATTAATATTGATAGCCGTCTTATTTATGATAATGTCAGTTACTAGTATTATTAGTTTTCCTCCTCCTCCTCCGCCTCCGCCTCCGCCTCCTCCTCCTCCTCATCATCATCATCCTTCTCCTCCGCCTCTTATTCGTAGGTTTCGGCTCGTCTTCGTATGCTTGTTCGTCCTGTTCGTCTTCTGCCTTGTACTCCGACTAGTCTTAAGCGTATTACTAGCATTCGGATGCGTGAAGTATTGTTAGAAGTCTTGCCGTTAGTGGTATCATGATTCGCTGTTCCCACAGTAGTAGTAGTAGTAGTAGTAGTAGTAGTAGTAGTAGTAGTAGTAGTAGTAGTAGTAGTAGTAGTAGCAGTAGGAGTAGGAGTAGGAGTAGGAGTAGGAGTAGGAGTAGGAGTAGTAGTAGTAGTAGTAGTAGTAGTAGTAGTAGTAGTAGTAGTAGTAGTAGTAGTAGTAGTAGTAGTACTAGTAGTAGTAGTAGTATGTGGTGATGGTGGTTACTAGCCGTAGTAGTCGTAGTAGTCGTAATAGTTTTAGCAGCAGTAGTAGTAGTCGTCGTCGTCGTCGTCGTCGTCGTCGTCGTCGTCGTCGTCGTCGTCGTCGTCGTCGTCGTCGTCGTCGTCGTCGTCGTCGTAGTAGTTAGTAGTAGTAGTAATAATAAGTAGTAGTAGTAGTCGTAGTAGTGTAGTAGTAGTAGTCGTAGTAGTAGTAGTAGTAGTAGTAGTAGTAGTAGTAGTGGTAGTAGTAGTAGTAGTAGTAGTAGTGGTAGTAGTAGTAATAATAGTAGGAGTAGTAATAGTAGTTGTAGTAGTAGTAGTAGTAATAGTAGTAGTAGCAGTAGTAGTAGTTGTTGTTGTGGCAGCAGTAGTAGTAGCAGCAGCAGCAGTCGTAGTAGTAGCCGTAGTAGTAATAGTAGTGGTAGTAGAAGAAAAAGAAAAGGTAGTAGTAGTAGTAGTAGTAGTAGCAGCCGTAGTATTGGTCGCAGTAATAGTATCATTAATAATAGTAGTAGTAGCCATAGTAGTAGTATCAGCAGCAGCAGTAGTAGCAGTATTGGTATAGATGAGAAAAGACTAACACTACGATGACTCAATAATCGTATGAGTGATAACAATGGTAATAAATCAAACCCAATAAGATTAAGGAATTAAGAACACCGATAACAACAACAACCGTAGTAATAAACATCAGTACACGAACAAGAATCCGAATACAAATGCTACTATCGTAGTAACATAAAAATCATTAGTGCTAGCATTATTCATATTGCTATCCGTATAAGTATTGTTAGCCACATATGTATTTCCCATAGCGTTCATACTGTTATTATTAAAAGGTTTCTCCTTCTTCGAAACATCCTTACTGCCATCAATATTATGACCATCAGTCGTATGATTCGTAGTCATCTTAGTCTCCGTATTCTTAGTTGTACGTGTAGTATCCATACTCTTTTCGTTTAGAAATTATTCGTCTTAAACAATATGCTTATCATTAGCATACTTCTAGTTATTATTACTATTGCTCCTTAACCTCCTCCTCCCTCCTCCTCCTCCTCCTCCTCCTCCTCCTCCTCCTCCTGATCCCCTCTGGTCGTATCGGGCCAGGAGATCCCCCTTAGGGGGGAGCTCGTGTTCGACAAGGCGGGCGAATGCCGCCTTGCCTGCACGCGCAGGCCTGGCACAGGGCCCACTCAGGGCCCGGCACTAGTTGGAGCCTGACCCTCCACAAGTGGTGCACCGCCACAGTCAGCGGGCGTTTCGGAGGTGATGCGAAACGCGCATCTGCCACGGCTGTCCTCTCACAGGTGAACGGGGCCCCCTCGAGCTTGGGCAAGGCCCGAGGGGGCGAGGAAAGGCCGACGGAACACTCCAGGGTGCCCCCCGAGGGGTGGGCGGGCGGAGGAGAGCTGGGCGGCCAGGGCAGCAGCCTCCGTCCCCTGGCGGCGCGCTCGGGGGGCTGCCGTGCGCTCGGCCCGAGTCGGGGCCCCGGCCCCCAGGCCGCCTCGGCTCTGGCGTGGGCCTCCCAAAGCCCCACCGCGAATGATTCTTCGCAAATTTAATACGCGGGAGTGTCGAGCCTGGCCGCGAACTTCGCACCGAAGTAGGAAGTCTGGTCTGCTCCCTCGTTCGCTACACGATCATCTTCACTGACAAGCCTACCAGTGTCCGCTTGCCTCCTCCTCCTCCGCCTGATGTCCGAGAAGTCTTCTTCTACATCTCCATCGGAACCTACAACTGCAGCATGCGGAAGGGGTAACTAACTTGCTTACGAAGACCCCGTCGCTGTGGAAGCTGAAGTCGGGCCAACGATCGCACATCTCGTAGGCCCAGCGGAGCGGGGTAACTTCTCCTAGCCAATAGCACGGCCACTGCTCGTGCTCTGCAGCGGCCTGTCCGGCCAGTTCAAAATGAGTGCATGGAACTGTTTGTAGATGATCGCATCCCCAGAACTGTTGAAAGAGGGCCTCCGGCACGCCACACTTGCAACACTTTCGTTTGGGGCGGTCGTCGTCAGGGAAGCTGCGGGCCCCAGGCCACAAGGCCCCAGTCGCAACCTGCTCCAAACACGTGGCGTGACCGGTCTGTTTTGTCCTGCGCAAGGTCTGGCACATTCTCCTCATCACGGTAAAGCCCGCTCCTTCCTCCAGTCCTTTTACAAGAAACGTCGCGACGGTAGGTCCTGCCAGATGCGAAGCTCGAAGGTGGTCTTTATGACAGGACGCACTGGTGCCAGCCATCTGGTGGCCCAGAAAGGCTCTCAAAGCGTAGTGGACCCCTATCAGGAGGAGCCTCGCCTGGGAGAACGTAAAAGACGGTCCCAGAGTAGTCTGCACATGCTCACGGTAGCTTGGGGCCCCAGCTGGCCTGCATGAGGTTGGTGGTGACTGCCTTTCGGACCTCTGACCTGCACGTTTCCAGGCAGCTTTTTAGGCAACGATCTACCCCTTGAGCTTTGCGGGGATGCTCATCCAGATTTGAGAAGGTCCATCCTGCCGAAGTACAGGGAGGGCCTTGCTTCCTGAGCCCATCCTGAACACAACAGTAGCACACACACACACACACACACCAGCTCTGCGTTTCCTGTGAGGGCCGCCATGGTAGCTCTCAACTCCTTTAGAACCGATGGTGAGCCGCCCTGTCCAGCAAGCCCCCATGCGCCCTGAGGTTTCACCCCGTGTAAGACTGAGTGTGGTCGTTTTCTTGTCGGCCCTGATGAGTTCCCGAACACGTCTGGCACGAACGCCAGCCTCCTTCATGATGGTAGAAAGGCCTACGATGGGTCTCCTCCGAGAAGAAAATCCAGCCCAAGATCTCGCGCCTTGGTGACTGCCTGCACCTGTTTCCGAGCTCGAGCTAGCCCTTGACGGGTATGGCGGAGCAAAGGCCCGAGCTGGCGAGCAGCTGTGACTTGGCCACGAGCTTCGACCTCGCGATCGCACAGCATAAACTAAGGCCTTGGCGCCTTCAACGGTGATTCGGTGTACTACCTGATTTGGCCCCTGGACCTGCATGCGAATTTCGTCGACCCATGCGCTGAATTCGATTGGACGAAAGTTGTTATGATTTGATTACAGATCATCATAGAGATACGCCCTGGCCCAGGCCGCAGATTGGACACAGCACTGCAAAATAGAGCACCGAAATTAAAGTGGATGCTTCTGCCACCATGGTGAACGAACGGTGTATTCTCGGTCCGAACATCTGTGCTCCTCCTACTCCTCCTTCTTCTCCTCCTCCTCTTCCTCCTCCTCCTTCTCCACCTCCTCCACCTCCTCCTCCTCGTCCTCGTCCTCCTCCTCCTTCTCCTCCTGCTCCTCCTCCTCCTCCCGATTTCCGAATAAATCAATCCCCCCTGTCGCACCCCCATACGTGTCAGTAGGGCGGGCCCGGCGTTGTTGCCGCTGCTGCTGCAGCCAGGGCTCTAGGCTCTTACTGTCCTGGACACACGCTTTCCGGGCGTCCCGGAGGGACCGAGGAGGCCGCGAAGACGGCCCGAGAAAGCGCCGAGTCACCTCAAAATCGCTCCCAAATCTTCAAGATGGCTGGATTCTCCCATCTTTAAAAAGTAAACTCGACCCCCCCGGCTTTATCGGTACACC